TCCACACAGAGATGGGAGCGGGGTCGCCAGTACAGGAGGCGCATGCCAGAACTATTGGACATATTTTTAGTGGTAGGGGAAACCGGAGTACCCGGAGGAAACCTACGCAGACACGGGGAGAACATGCAAACTCCACTCAGAAAGGCCCTGGTCCGACCGGGATTCGAACCCAGGACCTTCTTGCTGAGAGGCGAGAGTGCTATCCACTCAGCCACCGTGCCGCCCATGGTCGGCTCCCACTTGAGGTCCTGGGTGATGGTGGTGCCCAGGAAACGGAAGGACTCCACAGAGGTGATGGGGGAGTCCATCACGGAGGGTGGGGGCGGGGGGACAGTGCTCTTCCTGAAGTCCACAATCATCTCCACTGTCTTCTGGGCGTTCAGCTCCAGGTTGTTACCACTGCACCAGGACACCAGCCGGTCCACCTCCCTCCTGTAGGCGGACTCATCGTTGTTGGAGATGAGTCCAATGAGGGTGGTGTCGTCCGCGAACTTGAGCAGCTTCACGGAGTCGTGGCTGGAGGTGCAGTGGTTGGAGGTGCAGTGGTTGGTGTACAGGGAGAAGAGCAGGGGAGAAAGAACACAGCCCTGTGGGGCTCCTGTATTTATAATCCGAGAGTCCGAGACATTCTTCCCCAGACGCACTCGCTGCTTCCTGTCCGTCAGGAAGTCAGTGATCCACCTGCAGGTGGAATCGGGCACGTTGAGCTGGGAGAGCTTGTCCTGGAGCAGGGATGGCAGGATCGTGTTGAAGGCAGAGCTGAAGTCCACGAACAGGACCCTGGCGTAGGTCCCCGGGGAGTCCAGGTGCTGTAGGATGTGGTGGAGGGCCAGGTTAATGGCGTCGTCTACAGATCTGTTGGCTCTGTAGGCGAACTGCAGGGGGTCCAGGAGGGGGGAGGTGAGGGACTTGAGATGGGAGAGGAGCAGGCGCTCAAATGACTTCATGACGACAGACGTAAGTGCTACAGGTCTGTAGTCGTTGAGTCCTGTGATCCTGGGCTTCTTCGGGACGGGGACAATGATGGAGGATTTGAAGCAGGCCGGGACATGGCAGGACTGCAGAGAGGTGTTGAAAATGTCAGTGAACACAGGAGTAAGCTCACTGGCGCAGTGTCTCAGAGTGGCCGGAGACACGTGGTCCGGGCCAGGAGCTTTGCGGGGGTGCAGCCTCAAGAAGAGTTGTTTAATCTCTTTAGAGGCTATTGTCAGGCTGGGGGCAGGGCTGATGGGTGGGTCGTTAGAGTATTGGGGGGTGGGGGAGGGAGAGGTGTCAGGGGCAGCATCAAAGCGACTGAAAAATAAGTTTAGTTCGTTAGCTAGCTTGTGGTCGTCAGCACAGGGGGGGGCTTTGGGCTTGTAGTTGGTGATCTCCTGTAGGCCCCTCCAGACAGAAGCAGTATCGTTGTTACCAAACTGCTCCTGTAGTCGTTCTCTGTGCCGGGACTTGGCTGCTTTCAGTTCTTTCCTGAACTGATATTTAGCTGCTTTGTAGCCGCTGCGGTCCCCCTCCCTGAAAGCAGACTCCTTTGCTTTCCTGAGCTGCCGGAGTTTAGCAGTGAACCAGGGTTTGTCGTTGTTATAGATGACCCTGCTCCTTGTTGGAATGATGCTATCCTCGCAGAAGTGAATGTATGACGTCACAGTGTCCGTGTATTCATCCAAACTATATGTGGCAGCTCTGAAAAGGTCCCAGTCTGTAGATTCCATGCATGGGCGCAGCTCTTCCACAGCTTCATCAGACCACACTTTGGAGCTCCTCACTGCAGGTTTCGAGAGCTTTAGTCTCTGTCTGTAAGCAGGAACCAGATGTATCATGGAGTGATCTGAGAAGCCGAGGGCTGGCTTGGGAACAGCGCGAAAAGCTCCGCGCACGGTGGTGTAACAGTGATCCAGAGTGTTCTCCTCTCTGGTTGGGCATTTGGTAAACTGTCTGTATTTGGGTAAGTCCTGGCTCAAGTTTCCCTTATTAAAATCCCCCAGGATAATAATCAGAGAGTCCGAGTATAAACGTTCCATACACAGTACTTGCTCTGCAAGTGCGCGCTGAGCCTCGCGCACGTCCGCGCATGGCGGTATGTAAACAGAGGCAAGAATGAATGAAACAATTTCACGGGAGGAGTAAAATGGTTTACAATGAATGAAAAGATATTCCAGAGCAGGAGAACAGTGCTTGGAGATCACTGTCACATCGTTACACCAGTTTGTATTGACGTAGAAACACAGCCCACCGCCTCTGCTCTTCCCTAAGAGCGCACAATGGCGATCCGCGCGGAACAGCCCAAAACCCTGCAGCTCCAGAGCGCAGTCCGGGATCCGCTCATTTAGCCAGGACACTGGATGTGGCGAAGTCCTTGTTTCTCCTCATGAGCAGGCTGAGTTCGTCCATCTTATTGCCCAGTGAGCGTACGTTGGAGAGAAAAATGCCGGGGAGAGCCGTGCGCGCTCCTCTTCTCCTCAGACGCACGAGCAGGCCTCTGCGCTTCCCCCTTTTACGGGCCCACACTTTTTTGGCTAGAACATGGACTAAATCAGCCGCAGATGCCAAGAAAAGAGGCAATAGGTCCAAGTTCCCCACGGGTGTAGGAACAGCCGGATGCACAGTTAAAAAGTAAAAAGCCGTGTCGACCGTACGAGGCGCCATCTTTAGATCATCTTTAGACCACTGATAATCTCCCTCGATCGCAAGATCTCATCCCGTGGGATCTCATCCCGTGGGGTCAAAATGATCATGAGAACGGTGATCAAAAATCCCAGAACCACACGGGGGGACCTGGTGAATGACCTGCAGAGAGCTGGAACCAAAGTAACAAAGGTTACCATCAGTAAACACACGACGACAGGGAATCAAATCCTGCAGTGCCAGACGTGTCCCCCTGCTGAAGCCAGTGCATGTCCATGCCCGTCTGAAGTTTGCCAGAGAGCACATGGATGATACAGCAGAGGATTGGGAGAATGTCATGTGGTCAGATGAAACCAAAGTAGAACTGTTTGGTATAAACTCAACTCGTCGTGTTTGGATACTGAGTTGCATCCCAAGAACACCATACCTACTGTGAAGCATGGGGGTGGAAACGTCATGCTTTGGGGCTGTTTTTTTTTGCTAAGGGGACAGGACGACTGATCCGTGTTAAGGAAAGAATGAATGGGGTGAGATTTTGAGCCAAAACCTCCTTCCATCAGTGAGAGCTTTGAAGATGAAACGTGGCTGGGTCTTCCAGCATGACAATGATCCCAAACACACCGCCCGGGCAACGAAGGAGTGGCTCCGTAAGAAGCATTTGAAAGTCCTGGAGTGGCCTAGCCAGTCTCAAGACCTCAACCCCATTGAAAATCTGTGGAGGGAGTTGAAAGTCTGTGTTCACTGCTCTCGAGAAGATCTGCATGGAGGAATGGGCCAAAATACCAGCTACTGTGTGTGCAAACCTGGTAAAGACCTATAGTAATCGTTTGACCTCTGTTATTGCCAACAAAGGTTATATTACCAAGTATTGAGTTGAATTTTTGTTATTGACCAAATACTTATTTTCCACCATAATTTACAAATACATTCTTTAAAAATCCTACAATGTGTATCCTGGATTTTTTTTTCACATTCTGTCTCTCACAGTTGAAGTGTACCTATGATGAACATTACAGACCTCTGTCATTATTTTAAGTGGGAGAACTTGCACAATCAGTGGCTGACTAAATATTTTTTTGCCTCACTGTATATCTATAGATATATAGATTATATTTATTACATACACACACACATATATAAGCTGCAATCTGGATCTTTAGGTAAACTGTGGAAACTTAGCATTTTGTTGACTCTACCTCCAGCAGTGCACAAGGGGGAGCTACATTGGTGATGGTTACAAACGTGTGCTTTTTGAAAAGTAAAGCCATCTTTTCGATTGCAAATGACTGAAATAACGCTACCGGAAACAAACAAGCGGCCATCCGGTCTCAAACCCCGAAGTTAGCATTTTCTAGTGCATGGGGTCTAATACTCCCTTTTGCCTTGTAATATGAGGCTGTTATATAATTCAACATGGGGATTTAGGATCAGAGAAAGTGGGTTAGCAGAGCTGCTCTCCCATGACTTCAGATGCTAAGTCACTGAAGCTTTTACACAGTCACACGTACTGTACATACCTGACTACACAGAGAGTCATATACTTTTTAACAAAGTAACAAACTGTGAAGTGATGAAGCAGTGATGGATACTGTTCATGGAAGTGTCTCCTTTTATGGGAAGATTTGTTTGAATATATTGATTTGTTTGTTATTTTGAAACTTGTTGTTATTGACCTGAAGTTTTAAAATTGTCATATAGATTATAGAATTGTAGTGCACTAAAGACACAACAATATAATTTTACTTTATTATAGATTTTTGCACCTTTTGTAAATCTTAATAAGCCTAACTGAAGTTGGCCATTGAAAACATTGACAACTATTCCACATTCCTCATGAAAATTTCACAACAAACCACCCCATTTTCAATAGCAAATTTATAGTAATGACATGTTTATTTATATAGCACATTTCACAGACAAGGGTGACTAGCCCTTTGCAGTTTCAGTGTTATTTCCATTCAGTCCACACACAGTGATGACAGAGGCGAGACCCCTGCCAAACCCTCCGACCCTCACCATCTGCTCACTCACTCATTACACTCATACCTTTTGTACATGTTTTCAGTGGTTGGGGGAACCCGGAGCCCCCAGAGAAAACTTACACCGGCATGGGGAGAACATGCAAACTCCACACAGATAAACCCCATCTCGCCCATGAGTTGAACGCAGGACCATTTTTTTTTCTATAAAGCATAAGCATTTAAGTATTTATAAGCCAAAAAAAACAACAACCAAAAACTAAACTTTTTCTTCTTTTACTGTTGTTACACATTAGCGTAAATAAATAGGACTGGGGTTTCACAAGTAAAAAAAAAAAAAAGCTATAGATAGTGACTATAGTGACTTTTTTGACAGTGAATCCTAGATTTAAATAGAGAATGTACATGGAACCATCCAGAGGTCAATAACTCACCAACGGGGTGTAGAAAAAAAGAAATGTTCCGAACATCTACAATAATAACAACACATAAATAAGTTCTTACCGTGTCTGTGTCGCGTCCTCTTCACTTGCTGTTGGGAGATTCAGTTATCCTCAGCTTCAGTCAGAGCCGCATCTGAAGCATCTCTGACTCACGTACAGCACAGAGTAGGGTCCACTTTTTGGTCCAGTCTCACGTGGAGGAGTAGCCCCTGACTGCAGTCCGCAGATCGGGGCGGAGCTCAACGTGGGCGGAGTCAAACGTTTGACTCCGCCCACGTTGAGCTCCGCCGAGCGGGAGCTAGGCATTGAGGACTGTGCGTATGACAGAGAAGGAGAAGAAGCAGAGGAGAAGAAGAGCGAAGTAGCTGGCAGGGCAGTGGAAATGCTGCGCATGTGTGATGGCCTGGATGAAGAGTATAAAGAAGACCTCAGTGAACCGTTCATGTTCATGTTTAGTTTGCAGGCAGACTATGAGGAGTTCTGCAAGGAAATGATGGACAAAAGGCAGCTGCAGGTGTTTTCCGGCTTTGAAATGAGATAATTTTCTGCTCACACATGCTGCATTTCTTTGCATTTTCACTTTGTTTTGGTTCTCCTAGTGTGGTTTTTGGTGATTTTGTTTGTACTTTTTGTATACCTGTGTTCCGGTTATGGCTTTTGTTTGTGTAAAATTTACCTTTTTGAAACATCAAGTCTGCATCCTTGGGTCCACTGTCTCGCTACCCCACCTCAAACCTCGGCATGTTTTAAGAAGTGTCAGTGGCACAATTCAGTCTCTGTTCTCCTTAATGTAGCTGATATAATTGAGTGGATACATTTATATAAGAATTTGTATTTTTTTAAATGAAGGCAGCATGGATAAAAAATAATGGACAGTAAAAAAATAAGGCTTTTGACAAGTTGAAAGTAGAAGCCTGATATTAAATGTTGATTTCACTTCACTGTTCTAGTTCAGTGGGAGCTGAACCTCATTAAAAAGTTGTGTGTAAAGTTGTGAGGGCTCATGGAAATGTAATCATATTACTATTATTTTAGTATCATTTATTTTATGAGACAAAGAATGCATATAGAATATTATGTAACCTTACTATTATGTAAGCTGGTATTTACATTTGAGACAAAAAGAAACAGGTTTTACCAAAGATTTACATTTTGACACCAGATGTGATCCTGATATAAATAACAATGAATGGTGTCCCATACAAAAGCTTTTTATATTATTACAAGCTTAGGCGTAACATCAGAATCGGTCAGAATCAGGTGCAATAATAAATAATGGTACCAAAAATAGTTTATAAATATACATAATATACAAAGGAGTAGAAGAATGAAAAGCATATCGGGACCGATAAATATTAATTATATTTTTAAATCATCAACTTGATGATTTTACCCTTGATCAAGATTAAAATCAGGGTAAAATGAAAAAAAAAAAACGCTTCCGTAAAAAAAAAGAAACTTCCGCGGTGGGCGGAGTCAAACGTTTGACTCCGCCCACGTTGAGCTCCGCCCCGATCTGCGGACTGCAGTCAGGGGTATATGGAGTGGAGCGCGAGCGGCGTGTGTGGGTACGAGGGAGGGGCTGAGCACGCACTGCTGGCACGTACGTACCAGGGACGTGCAGTCAGGGGAGGCAGGGGAGGCAGAGCCTCACCTGCCATTATTGGAAACTAATAATTATTTTAGTTTAAATATATAATTTATATCCACTGTCCTATGCTTTTAATGTATATTCGGCACGGTTCCCATCAGTTTTGATCATTTCTGAAGTCAAAATCGCCGAAATCCCGTTATTCCTATTCAAAGAGACGAGGTGAGGCAGCGCTCCTGCGTGCCTCACCCCAGACCGCTCCCTCACAGTGTGTGTGTGTGTGTCTGAGTGCACTCAGCTCGTGCAGTTGATATATCACCGTTCGTTTCAAATATCCTGCTTTAAAAACATTTTTTAAACTCCTCTTAGTGTTTAGTAGTGTATTGCACGTATGTGTGTACAATTTATATTTAGTTTAAGTCTTTTGATCGTAGATGAACACACAAGGAAAAAGCTTGGCGTGAGGCAGGCGGTATCTGTGCCTCACCGCTAGGGGTGATAGTGAGCATAAAGTTCATACCAGAGTTGCTAACAAACAATCAGCCCAAAATGCTATTTCTTTTGCTGGAAAATGGATGATTTGAATGAAGATTTTTTTTCTCAATTGGACTTTCAAACAAAGAAAGAATTAATATAGACTGGGAGACCACCACTGGACTTACGAGGTTAGTCCGGCTGCGGGGGAGGAGTTTGTTAATCTGTGTTTTATGTTGAACATTGACAGATACCGGCAAAGTAGTGCTTTTCCGAAAAACACTGATTCAAACACTGCTCAAGAGTTCTGCAACTTGTTTAAATTATTGTTTATGTTCCTCGCGTCTCTCTCTCCTCGCGTCTCCGTCTCTCTGCTCCTCTCCGTCTCTCTCTGCTCCTCTCTCCTCGCGTCTCTCTCTCCTCGCGTCTCTCTCTCCTCGCGTCTCTCTGCTCCTCTCTGTCTCTCTCTGCTCCTCGCGTCTCTGTCTCTCTCTCCTCGCGTCTCTGTCTCTCTCTGCTCCTCGCGTCTCCGTCTCTCTCTGCTCCTCGCGTCTCCGTCTCTCTGCTCCTCTCTGTCTCTCTCTGCTCCTCTCTCCTCGCGTCTCTCTCTCCTCGCGTCTCTCGCACCTGCGCTTCTTAAAGATGTTGTTTGATGCGGAGCAGAGTCAGCAGCTAGATTTGTTGTGAGATTATTAAAAGAAGCTGGTTCTCTTATCTTTACAGTATATAAAGTTTGTGGATGTCATTGCATTGGTGATTAAATGCTATTTTATTTGAATAATGATTGTAAATCTGACTTTTAAAGTCAGTGCCTCCCCAATCACAAACCTCACCGCACGTCCCTGGTACGTACACACAAACAAACATGCGCACACAACCAGGAAGTTCGCGCATCAGGACTAGTGCACAGGTGAACCATGTGGTGAACGCTACCCAGATAGCAAATAGTAACTGAAACAATGTTAAATCAACATCATGCTGTTAACGATAAAATCATTAAATCAACGTCGAACTCTGGTGTTGATTCTTCATCATGTTGCACCCTCTATTGTCATTGAAGTAACGTTTAAATCATACCTATAGATCAACAGGATTTCAATGGTATTTCAATTACAATGGACATTGAAACAATGTTGAAATCCCAGCATTTCACAGAAACTTCTATGGTAGGCTATTTTACTCTAGGTTTAATCTGAAGGTCTAAATTAATATATTACAAATTTCACTGGCTATTTCCTGCTTCATCGACAGCCAGGATGGGCTAGCAAAATATAGAACAGAGAAACTATTGCAGATCTTAAGGCTATAGCCTAGACTAGTACAAATGACACCCCACGCATTTAAAAAAATAAATAAACAACTGTTTGTATCGTATTGTTTCTTTTTTTTTTCTTTTAACGCGCTAACTGCGTTGGTCGTCGAGCTCCTCCCGCTCGGTCTGGTGCGTAGCGCAGACACTTGAGCACAGCTTGTGCAAATTCATAGGTATTTGCCGTACTCAGTCATTGAGTCATAAAACACAAGCAAAAGTACATTTCAGTTTAGCATTACTAATGATATAGGCTAAACTTGATAACCTAGACGATGTAACATTCAGATTACATAAACTATGCCTCTGATCCTAGTTTCCCGTTATCTAGCAGCAGCGTTATCGTTACAGCGTTGGTCCACAACTTTGACAGCGACATCCATCCATCTAACATCTGACCACAAAATGTCACCTGGCTTCCCACAATGTTTCCCTACATTGTGGGAAGCCAGGTGACTAGAAAATGTCCTGGATTCTGGAGTGCATAATTATGCAACTGTGGTGTCTAAAGAATACATTTTAACATACAGTGATTATTAATAAAATACATAGATGCATAGGGAGTCAGTTTGCTGGGAGAAGTATGGTAACTTGAGCACTATCCTCTTCTCCTTCCTACTTTATCTGTTTAGCATTTTTAGGATTTTGACTGTAGTTTGTTCATTGCTATTCACCCGTTGTCCCATTGTCTGTTTCATGGTACGATGACGGGACCTCTGAGCCTGGCCTCCTCCATCTGCACCTGCGGACTGCCCCGCCCAACCCGCCTGGGAGTGCTTCAGTCCTGCACCGGACCTGTCCACGTTCAGCGGCCACTGGTCCACGTTCTGTAGCTAGCTTAGGTCCTGGATCATTAGCCTGTCCGTCCGGAGGAGCGGATCCCTTTCTCATATGGGTCTCCCTCCCTGTGGGTTTCCCTAGTTCTCCCCAAGGTTTCTCACTTTTTTCCACTGGGTTTTTTAAGAGTTTTTCCTTGTCGATGCAGGAGGGTCTTGTTGGACAGTTAGTGTCCAACAGAAAGGATTGGTGATGATCAGGACACTTTAACATTCTACAACATGTATGGACATTTTCTTCTGTGTGTGCTTTATATTCTTCATGTGTTTTAACTGTTGATTCTCTGACCTGTGTTGGTGATTTCAATGGTTTTGTTAAGTCCTCTGAGATGACTTCTGTTGTGACCTAGGGCTATACAAGAATAAATTGTATTGTATTGTATTGTATAGAGGGATGGAGGAATAATGTGAGGAGAGGGCAGAGGGGGATATGGAGAGGGGATGGATATTTTTTTTAACATACACGTCTTTGTCGACATTAACCTGCCCAGGTGCCCTGGGGCAGACCGAAGTGAGGCTGCCATTTTGCGCCTTCTGTCCTTTCGATCACCACCACATTCACACAGATTTTCATCAGTATTGCAATGGTGATTCAACATTTATTTAGAGTTGAGATTTCAATGTCAACCATTCTGATGGTTTTGATGGAAAATAAATATATTTTCAATGTCACCTTGCGGTCTGGGTAGTATCCTTCCATAAGGTGAACACGTGAATATTGATAGTTTATGTATAATAATGATATATGATAGTTTAGAATGATTCACGTGGTGGCTTCATGAAAAATATACCTGCTGAAGCTGAGTTTAGGCTCATAACAAACCCACAAAACATAATCATTTGTTAGCCTATTTTTGTTTTTCTAAATGCTTATTACTAACGTAGGGCGGTTCGTTATATTATTAATACAACTTACGCCATTCTTTTGAAAGGCCATGACCAAGTTCACCCTGAATTGAAAAAAAGGGATTGTGTTATTTATTTATGTATTTTTTAAATACATTTTTGAAACTCAAAAGTGGGGCAGGCACAAGTATTCATTAGGACATTTTCTAACGCAATTCCCTCAGAGAAATGCCATGAATTCTTTCACTTCACAGTTTGTTACTTTCTTGAGGTCTTTCAAAAAAACGTTGACAAAATGTGCAGAAGTTCTTTTAGTACAGAAAAACACTGCATACTCTCCCCAAAGCTAGAAAGTCACCATTTCACAAAGATGATAAGTCATGAAAGTGGATCCCGGACTGCGCTCTGGAGCTGCAGGGCTTTGGGCTGTTCCGCGCGGATCGCCATTGTGCGCTCTTAGGGAAGAGCAGAGGCGGTGGGCTGTG